GACCTTTAAAATTTAGACATTTAGATGCCTCATTAGTGGCATTTCCACTCACCACTTGACATTTTGAAAATAAATTAACTTAATGGGAACATGTCAATTAAAAATTTTTTTTGATAAAAAGTTTTGCTGCCAGGATGTGGTTTTTTCCACATATACTGATGTTGGTTTGTTTCAGGAAACTGTAAATCAAACACTTTTTTCATATCATACGGGTCACATGATCAACAACTTGTGCTGTTTCTCTTATTTTATGGATAAAATGCAATTGTGAAATTGTTTCTTTTGACATCAGAAAAGTATCAACAAAGTTTTGCAGCTTGTTCCATTTCTAATGGAAATGCAACTACTGTGAATCATAAAGAGCTCTACCTATTTAGAGAATGAAAAGATAAAGAGGATGAAATTAACCCTTTTCAAGAATCTGAAGTGGTGTTTTTGTTCTTTAATAGCTGCACTAATGAAACTCTTACCAAAAACATATCAGTCCAATATATCGTAGATTAATGAAAAAGATTACGATGATTTCTCCCACAGTTAACACCAAAGCAAAATCTCTGTACAAATAAAAGGTAAGCATCTTGGTATCACTTATTAATAAAACATAGTCAAAGCACTTTTCAAAATGCTAAAGGAGACACAAAGAGTTTTATGGAATTTAGGTACAATAAAAACAATGTTTAATCATGTTGCAAGCCATTTATTCTTTCCTGAGTATAACCAAACTAGCTTTATTTTTATATCCCTGCAATGCCCATGGCAACAGGGACACCCATTTCTCTTAATCTATTTTTTCTGAAGTGTTTCTGTGTTTATATCAGCAAATCCATGGAGTTTAACCTCAGTTATTTTAGTTCAGATCCCAGAGAAGTGATGTTAAAAATTGGTTAGTTTAAATATCTCATTTGTAGAATTATTTCTGGTAACTTGTAGAACTTGATCCACCTCATAAAACAGAATCAAGTTTTAACACTCTACTCTTGCCTGTTGTCTTACAGGTTCTCCTCAGACTCGCAGCACGGTGGTGACAGCTGTAAAGTTCACGATTGTTGACCATCCATCTCCCATAGACCCACTGCTGAAAGACAGCATCGGTAAAACACAGCATTGAAGATTTCCAATACAAATTCTACAACATTTTACTGGCCACATGATTGCACATAAAAATGCTTGTGAATGGACTTAAGATCAAACCTCAACATTCATGGAAAACGTCAAATTCATAGCACTCTGTTGCCACTCAGAACAGCATTGGTTATTTTCCAATGAGCCTTAGTTTCTGTTGATATAACTTTATACTGGCTTAGTGTGAGTATCTGATTCAAAAGTACTCAAACTTGAATTGGGTACATTAAACAGACCCGATGGGCACAAAGAAAACAAGACATACTGCTGTTTTGGACTCTTTCTGATGATTGTAGCCTCAGCTCTTCAGCTGTGATGAGTCTATGCTTACTGAAGCCTCAGGCTACTGAGGTAGTCGTCTGTTGTCACAATCCATAAACTTCAAGCACAATTTGTTTTAATTTGCAGATGGTTTTCCAAGTAAATATTTCAGTTAGTTTTAGCCACTGAAGTGGTAAACTCAGATACCATGATGTTTCCAAATTAGAATTCTGAATACATCATACTTTGCAAAAAATATTTATAATCCTTCAACTTTTTTATTATTTTTTTTCTCCGAAGAGTTTTTGTGGCACTAGGGGCTTTTCGACAGTAGACAGACAGGAAAGAGGGAGAGAAGAGGGGGGAGGACATGTGGCAAGGGTCTTCGGGACTGGGAGTCGAACCCGCGATGTCCACGTCGAGGACCGAGGCCTCCAAACGTGGGGCGTTCTAACCCCCACGCCACCACAACACGCCCCATCCTTCAACTTTTTTTTACATTTGTTATGTTGTACTTCCAAACCTCAATGTATTTACCTAACTTTCATGAAAAAGACCAATACAAACTCTTTTACTAAGTAGGAAGAATTACAACAGCATTATGCCGCCAACACCATGCTTCCTTGTGAGGTTGTGTTTAGGATGTTAGGTAATGTCTTAATTTTGACCCACATGTAACATTTCCTTGAATGTCAATAAGATCCACATTTACTGTTTTCCTTTTGCTGCTTGTGGCAAACTGCAGCAGGACATTCTTCTGACAATTTTAAACAGTGACTTCCTTCCTGCCACTAAGATCATATTTAGAGTATGACTAACAGTGGCTCTGACTTGTCTGATGCCTTCTTTGGTCTTTTTGATAAATCATGTTTGCTTATGTTTTTCACCAAACCTTGAAAGGTGATGAGGGAACAGCTGCATTTATGCTAAGGTCAAATCACTCTGGTGGGTTTTATGTACTAAGTTTCTAAAGCTTCTTGGTGGCGCTTCATTACCTTTAGGCGAAGTTGGATGAAAACAAATGTATGCATAGATTTTTTTCTTTTGACAAAATTTTAAAACTATGTACCGTTTTCCTCCAACTTCACAATATGCAATAGTATTATTTGGCCTGTCCCATGAATTTTTAATGAGGGACATTGTTTGTGGATCTACTGCGACAAAAACATTTATTTGAAGTCCTAAACCATTTTTAGCACACTTTAGTATATTAGCTTTTCATCATATTCGATGAGAGTTTCACACTTTGTTAATGGTGATACAAAGATATTTTGTATTTTACTCTGACAGGTGACTTTCTGAAGACCCTGCAGGACAGTGACATCAATGTGCGCCGTGTCGCCTTGGTGATGTTTAACTCTGCTGCTCATAACAAACCATCTCTGGTCCAAGGTCTGCTGAGAACAATCCTGCCTCACCTTTACAAGGAAACCAAGATCAGGAAGGACCTCATAAGGGAGGTGTGTTAGCTGATAGACACTGCAAATAATGACAATGTGTGCAAATGTAATGCTTTGCATGTGTGCTACAGGTGGAGATGGGACCCTTCAAACACACGGTGGATGATGGTTTGGATGTGCGTAAAGCAGCATTTGAGTGTATGTACACTCTGCTGGACAGCTGCCTAGAGGGGCTGGATGTCCTGCAGTTTCTGGATCATGTAGAGGAAGGACTTAAAGACCACTATGACATCAGGGTGAGCAGGAATATTATTTGAAAATTAAATAATTGTATCAAATAAATGTCAAGCTTGCTTCATGGAATGTAAGAAAACAGCAATTCAGGTTTCTGGACCGTTAAAGAACCTTTTTCTATCACTTCTGTTTATTCTGGGTTGTAGATGTTGACCTTTTTGATGTTGGCCAGACTGGTTTCTTTGTGTCCTGCTGCTGTTCTCCAAAGACTAGACCGACTGGTGGAACCTCTTAAAGCCACCTGCACCACCAAAGTATTGAAACACTTTAAAATTATTGCTTTTCATTATTACCAGTTTTTTGACCTGATGCTTAACCAGATAGCCCACCAAACAGCATGGTTTACACTCTGTGGCATCTCCTACAATCTACAGGTAAAGGCCGGCTCTGTAAAACAGGAGTTTGAGAAGCAAGAGGAACTGCGGCGCTCAGCAATGCGCGCTGTCGCCGCCCTGCTGGCTGTACCAGAGGTGGAGAGAAGTCCCAGCATGGCTGAATTCGCCAATCAGATTAGATCCAATGCAGACATGGCGTCCATCTACCAGAGTGTCCAGGGAGGGGAAGCAGGGGGCTTAGGCCCCACAGAGAGCATGGATATGAGCTAAGCACTCCTTTAGTGCCTTAGAAGAGAATATGGTGGTTTTTCAGTTTTTGTTTAGTTTTTTTGTATTTTTAGAGCTTCAGGTTATTGTTTGATCCAACATTTGATGTTTTGTTTATTGTGTGAATTTTTTTTCTCCCTTGTTGGATCTAATTAATTACATCCTGTCTATGTGAGCTGAATACATTTATGAAACATAAACTGAAAATAGTGCTTTTTCCACATTAAGTTAAAATGATAAACTCTGCCGTTCAGCCATTTTAAACTGAGTTAAATATGTTTTTACTAAGCCTCACTATAGAAGTGGCATTTTGCAAAGAGCAAACATCTTACAAAGAATATAATTTTTTTATTAGGCAGAAAATATACCAGTTTGAGCTCTTTATGACTGAGAAAATGCTGTGTTGTCATTTAAACACATTAAACTCTTCCTAATGTCCTGTTCTCTTGAATGTGTTTGTAAATGCACCTCAGCATCAGAAAAGTTTGACTTTTGTTTTTAAAAAGTTACAATTAAAAAAGTGGCAAGACACAAATTGTTTTATTAAATTCAACCTTTTACATCCTGGCATCCTTTGACAGTTCTTTGGTCTTGCCAATCATGGAGAATTGATTTGAGTGTCGCTATGTGGATAGAAATAGATTTAATAAATTGTTTAAAAATACATATGAAACGTAAAAAAATTTTTTATGATCCTGACAGCAAGTACTTTCAATTAGCTTACATATAGTGGATGCTCTGTTATTTTACAACATTAAAATCTGAGACAGAATGAGTGAAGGAAAAACATACAATACCACTAATAAAATGACTACATCTATGATGAATACTGTTACAAATACCTCGACTAATGCTACTGCAGCTACTACTATAAACAATAATATTAAAAAGATATTAATAATTTTTTTGTAAGATTTTTGCTGTCATATTTTATTAATTTGTCCATATTATGCAACACATGATAACATGACTTATTGGGGGTGCATACTGTACAAATAGAAGAAGACATTAATCCTTCTAATGCCTTTAGACATGTGTTCAGCTTGCAATTTTGTGATATCTTTTATGCATATTTTAGAACTCAGTATTTACACTACAAATGAGCTAATCTGAGGGCTCCGATTGGCCTGTATCCATTTCATAAAATGCATTGGCAAAGGTGTTTTTGTTTCTAGTATAAAAACAATGCAGCAAACAAAAAATAATATAAAGAGTAACCAAATACAAAACAGATAAAATACATAACAACAAGCATAACACATCTGTAGTACTGATGGTTTTCAAGGGAAACAATAATACATAAAAAAGTAAAATAATGTCACAATGCATTCTGTGATATGACAAATCTAAGGCTGAAGTGAACAGAGAAATCAAACTTTTATACTGAGCTTTATCATTGCACAGCAGGTCAGAAGTCATGTATCATATTTTAAAAGATCAACTGATTCCAGCTTGAAAGTATTTACAATTTTTGCCCTGATCAAATAAAACTTCAGTCCTCCAATCTTTTTCTTCTTTGTTTTTATTTATTTCCTATTGTTACTTCTTGACTGCTGAGTAAAGCGGTTCGCCTGTAGATTTGGTTGGTGGATCACTCAGGGAAGCTAAGTTTTTGCTGAGCTTTAGGAAAGAATACTGACACGAGGATGAGGAGGGTTCCATGATCTGAACTTCTCCATCAGTGGTTTTGGTGGAACCACTTTGAAAATTGATAGTACAATAATGCAGTGAAGCTGGGTCGTTAGGTGAAAAGTTGACTGTGGCATGAGCGTTGCCCACTTTTGTCTGCAGGCCAAGTGGTATCTCTTCATATATGCAGTCCTTTTAGAAATAAATGTTTAAAAATCATATATTTTTTCCATTTAACCTAAATAAAATGAGTATTCAATGTCAACTATTTTCACTATAATAATGTGGCTGAAAAAAGTAAACAAATTAAATACATCAATATTTTTCCATGTAAACACTAACCTCTCTGGGATGTTGCTCTGCAGAACTGTTTTCCGCTTTTTCTGAACGAAGACATCCTATAAGAAACACGATAAACAGCACTTTATCAAATCCAGAGTTCACTCAGTCACACACACATTCACACAATGATGTGTGTGTGACTGGATTGTACCAGCTACTGGACTGTAGCCACAGTTGGCATTATTGCACAAAGCAGATAAAAATTTTACAGTATAATTTTTATGATCAGCAAAATCAGTAAATCAGTGAATAATCATATAACAGAATTCTGGAGCTCATGCTTTAACAAAATAAACTGTTGTCAAGTATACATTTTTTTTTCATAATTTATTTCATTTTCCAGTTTTAGACTGAAAGGAAATATTATTCCAGGCTGTTCAGGAATGATAATTTCAGGTAAAATATTGTTTTTCTGAATTCTATTTTCAAAATTATTGTCACTGTCAAATAGGGGTGGCAATCTTGACACAACTCGCCATGTTTTAGAATAAGGATTCATAATTGCATTCACAGTTTGTAAATATAATTTTGTCTGTATGAGAACCTTTATTTTGTGCCAGTAAATGATGTAAATTCTTACGTTTGTACAGACAAAACGTAACTATCACCAAAAGAATCAGTGTCCCTCCAGCAGCTATTATGATGAATGATGTTTTCACCCCCGAGCTCAAGCCACCTGAAAGAAATGGCATTGTTTGAAATAGTATCAACATGATTACCCATTTTTTAAAAAAAGAAACTTAAATATATTTTACAGAAACAAAGTAAAAATGTTGTTAAGGTTGGTAAGCATGATGATCTCCTAAAGGCAGAAGTTAACGATGCTGTTACTAAAAAACCCCAACAACAAATAAAAAGCTATGCATATAATCAATTCCAAAAACATATTGTGCCCCATTATATATATGTTTTGATGTAAAGATGTGAGCTTACCATAAATATGTGAAGACGTAGTTGAAGTAGGAAGAGATGTGGGTGTTGTAACTAGATATGAAAAGCATGGAGATAAAACCATTTATTATGATAAATGTGAAAGGTTATGAACCATAAATCCATTGAAGAGTGATGCTCATAAACATGATTTTATTTATCACAACCACTGTCCCCATGTCAATCAAGCGTCCTGTTGCTTGATTGACACTCGAAATGTATCTTTTTACAAATTACTTTTCAGTTATATTCTCATGCTGAATGTCATTGATGTTTTCTTCTAATTATCACAACTCCTGTCTGATTACAGGAAAATTGAAATAAAATGAAAACACTATTACCAATAACACAGCAGTGTGCATCCACATAATTCTGCCTTTTCATCTTTAAAGAATTATATATAAAAAAATAGATACACATAATTCTGCCTTTTAATCTAAACAAGTATTTCTGGTGATTAATTAAAAGATCTGTGATTTAACACAAATATACTTTGCTAACAGGAAATGGTAATATTATCAGCACTTTAAAATCACATGCTGTGCCTGTGCTTCCTGTTCTAAAGGCTGCTGAATAAAACCACTTCCTGTAATGTTCCTCCCTTTCAGCTCAGAAACACCACAATATTGTCACCAGCATTTCTTTGCTTATACGTCTACCCATAATTAGAGCAAGGTCCTTACCTGAGAAACTAAAAGAAATAATCATATTGATTAAATTGACCTTACAATCAATTATGCATTTTTCAATAATACCACAACAGGTCTAATCAGGGTTAGACTCACCTGCATCCAAGAAGAGTCGGCTTATGAATATTTCACTTTGCTGGTGCTTCTTTCTTGCTCCACACCAGTATGTACCAGAGTCTATGGCTCTTACATCTTTTATTGTTATAGTGATATTACCTTTCTTATTATTCTGCATTGTAAACCTACAGGTTTTATCTGCAGTTTTGGTGCTGATGACAACTTCACATTTGGTCGGCTTTTCTCCCTTACAGACAAATTTTTCAAGTTTTTGGTCTTTGTCATCATCATATTTGCAAAAGAAGGTGAGGTTCTCTCCAATAACTGGTGATTTGGTGAAAGTTACAATATCTGTAAAAAATAAGTTTTAGAAAATTAGGTTACCTTAAAAGAATGAAATTTCAAAATGTAGCCACACAAGTACTATTTACCTGTAACCTTTAGAATGAGTTCAGGCTTTTCTGTCTTTCTCTCTTCCATTTTACATGAGTAAAGACCATCACTGAATGGACACGCTTTATGGATTGATTCTGTGAATTCACTATGTGATTGTGGGGAAAACTTGTCACAGACAAAATCCTGGGACCTGCACCTTGACTGGAATTTTGACTGGTTTTGATTTGGATAATTACATATTATTGGCTTTTTAGATGTTTTAGCTGATGAGCTACAGCTGTCTGCAAATCAGAAAGATACATAGTTGAAACAGACAAAATTTTATTCAGCAAATACATTTCTTAAATCGTACACTTAAATACAGTTAATTGTTGACAATATTTTTGCGATTTAAAAGTTGAATGTAGTTTACCTGCTTTGACTTCTATCATACCGATGTGAGGTTTTGTTAACATTACAGTCAAACTGCAGTTTTTGGTTTTGTATTGGAACAGGAGGGAGTTAAATCTTTCTTCACATTTATCATTGTGATTGTTTTGCTCTGAGTTAATTGTAGAAATAAATATTTTCACATTTTTACTTTTTGGCTGTCGGCAGGTAAATTCAGTCCCATTTTGTGGGCATCTTTTTGTTCCACCTGAAGCCTCAAAATCTGTAGAACAGACAGATAAAAATGTTCAGATGACACCACACAGGTCATCAGCTAAGAAACAAGTTTAACACTACAGAATTGTTGTGATTTGTGTAGTTTTCCAATACTTTCTAAATTCTGAAGAAAAGGTTTAAAGCAAAGTCAAAACAACCAATTATATGTGAAATCAAATGTTTCAAATTAGTTATGAACAGAAATTGTGTTTGGTTACATTAAAATGCAATTCAATGGATTTGACTTATTAGTTTTCCGTAGTGGTCTGATGCTCGACTGAGACTGTAAGTGTAATGCTTCTTCAAGAATGTGAAAACGGTAACTAAAATTGTGTAACAACAATTTTACCTCAGATAGAAAAGAAGAACAGAGAAAAAGAGAACGCAAATTTTACCTGAAATTAGGATGATGAGTAGAAAGATGTTCTTCATTTCGCAAGTCTCAGACTGTTATGTGTTGAAGTTGTATGACATCTAGTCTTCTTTCATCGTTTCCTGAATACGCAATCTAAAGCGTTTTCATATTCTCCACCCATGTTCTTCCTTTATTCTCTCTGTGGTGGTGCTGTAGAGAGGTTGCAACATTCAACTAAAGACTGTAAAAACTTGCAGTAAATGAAACTATGCAGTACATTTTCTGAATCAGTTGTAAGCATCAGTTTGATTCTTACAAGTGAGCTTAATATGAAGCAAATAGCTTTTTATTTATCTGTCATCAGTCAAAAAAGGAATGAATAAACACAATATTCTTCTGGCAATTTATGATTCAGAAATCTGTGTCTTGAAGTTTATGATTATTTTACTGCATTTAGCTCACAGTGCTTTTGAAATACTGGTCCATATTGAAGTCCATTTATTTTGAAGGAAAAAAGTTGTTTAGATAGCTCAGTAATGCGCAGAGTAACAAATCACAGAAATATGCGTGTAAATAAAAATATATATTTTTTGCAGCTTTTACAACTATGAATAAGAACTGATTAAAGAAAATCAACTCTAAAAATCAAAACATGCTTAAAAAAAAAATCATGCTTACCTACATTTGTTTTTCAAGAATTATCCACATTATTTTTTCTTTATTTTTGTTCACTTTATTTTGTAATGCATGGATCCTTGTGGCTTACAACTTTGCATATTAAGCTAAGTTTTTTTCTCAGTTGTTTCACATTTCAAAGTTTGAATATTTTTCTGTTTTGTTTTGTTTGTTGTTGCAGATTTTTCCATTTGGCTGTCATGTTTAATGATTTCTCTTGCCCATTTTCTGACAAAAACTTGATAAGACATTATTTTGGTCTTCTTATGTATATGATACCATGCATCATTTTCATAAGCATTCTCACAAGAATCAAAGCATAAAGTTCAAGCTGCAAAAAGAAAATAGAAATCTTGCACACTCTAACCATTCTTCTTGATCAGGAAATTTTCCCTCAAGCCATATCCTACTGAAATTTTTCTTGCTTATTTACTCCACTGCTCTACTTGTTCTTTCTAATAAATAGCTCAGTGTTCTGGGTTTTCATTCCCCTTTGTTTTAGGTTTGCTTATGGCCCGTAACTTTACTATCAACACAGCAATTTGGTGAGCCATAATGACCTCAAATCCAGACTAAGCATGTAATAAAACTATAGAGAGACAGAATGAAAAAAAAAAAAAAAACACGTTTGTAATCCATTGATAATTTTTTTTTTTTTTTTTTAACTTCTGCAAGTTTCAGTTTGTACCTTTAGCGATTATACCCCATTCCATTTGATGTTCTTATTTTGGTTAAATGATACAAAACAACACAACAAGAAACTTCCTTGGAATTTTGGGGAAATTTCTAATAAATCATTCTACTGCAGTTATTATATTATGCTGATTCCCTGCATAAAATCCTTCAAAAGTAAATCAAAGTCTGTGGTTGTACTGTAACAAAGTAAGTATTAATGTTGTCATCAAATGTCTAATGTTTTTACAATTTTTTTTATGGGAAACATGTTGAAATAATTATCAAGACACAAAAATATTTACTTTTGTTTATTTATTTTGAAAAGATAAATGTAAAAGTCATAAAGAAGACAAATAATAAATAGGTTATGAGGATATTATTGAATGAAATTACTTGCCTTTTTCACACACCGTAGTTCTGCACCAAATAATTAACTGAATAATCATCTGGTCCACATGTTGAATGTATATTTTAATTCAGTATTTTAAGCATTGATAAATCATACTTTTCCTCAACATGACTGAGGCAGGCTAATTTTCAAACACTGGAAAATGAAATAACAATAATATAAAACATGTAAGTATAATACTGTTTTGCACACTTTGAACACAAACAGCCTCACACTGACCTCCAAATACACCAGCAGATTTTGCTGACTGGGTTGTTTTCTGCAATATCAAGCTGTCTGTGAAAACTAACAACACAAATCAGTGTTTCTAGCAAGTGTATGTGAGTATGTAGCCCTGGTGGAACACCAGCCTTGTGTTAAAGAGCTCTAATGGCTTTTGGCCAGTGGTTTTAGAGTCTGATAACAGCAAACACTCCAACTCAAACACGGACCGATGGCTCCATTGTGTGATTATGTTTTTTATACAATGTTTGCCATCAGCAAAACCACTGGCTAATCTGAAAAGAAAACACAGATAGGATAGAAATTTCATGCAGTTTGGAGCCTTTTGAGCAGAACCCAGTGCTTTAACACATGTAGAGATGATTTGTGTTTATGAGACCCAGGGTTCAATCTATTGTGATTTATTAGATATTTACAGCAGAACATTTTCAGTGATGAATCAGTAAAACTTCAGAAAAGATTATGTTTAAAATATCCTGGTGATTAAATAGGTAATTGTTTTATGGATTCCTTTTTCACTTTAAATAAAAATTGAGGTATTTGTTTTTCTCTTGTTCTCATAAACATATATGAGGTGTGTAAAATCACTCATTGGGAGCTAATGAGACACAAAATCAGGGAGATGTGGAAAGATCAGAACTTCACTTAGGCTTGATTGCAGGGAAAAGATTGTGATTTCTTATTAAATATCACAGAGCAGAGTTGGAGTTGCTAAAAAAGACATCAAAGCGTCAGTATTATGTAAAGTTGACTTTTTGGAGATTTACATAATGTTCTGATGTTATTCCCTCATCCAGAACACATTTGGAGTGTTCCTTTGGTTCTTTCATACACGTTTGAGAAATTCTTGAATCTCCAATGGCAACTGTTCAGGTGCACGAAACACCTGGGTGGACCAAGCACCACCTTTGAGATGCAGTTCCTCCTCAGATCTGCAGTTTCCACACTGTCTTGTGAGAGAGCAACCCTCCTTGACTCCCCCAATCAGCTCCTTCAGAGCAGTCAGGAGCAATTAGCAAACATCTGGTAGAACTGCGCATCTTCTGAGCTCAATATGTGAGCTACTTCTCAGTGCAATATTTACTATTAAAGGGTTAATAGAGGAACAATGTTATGATGACTTCCTGAAGGTGGAGTTTCAGAAAGAGCAGGAGTTTTAAAAGAGACAAAGGCCCAATTTCAAGGAGTTAAATTACAAAGTCAATATGTTTTACACAGTATATAATATATGGAGCACTTTTATAACAACTGAAGTCAAAATAGTTACATCATTGTGTTATAAAATGGGACCATGTTGCTAGATACATAATATTGTCCCTTTAAAGGTCAAAATGGTAGATTGAAGAATAATCACAGGTGTTCATATTTAAACATTAACATGTTTAAGTATGCTTTATGAACAAAGGTTTAGTATCAGCCTTTGTCTACTGCACATACATCACATAATATTCCTCTGAAGAGTCAGAGAGCATGTAGTGACAGATGAAGGTTAATCTTGCCTAGAGTTTGGGGAACTGTCTTGTTTTAACTCAGGGATTTAAAAGCCTGTCAGTAACCCAAGGCTTCAGTTTGACCTCTGACAAACTCTGCTCTGTTCTTGTCAAACACACATGCACCTCACCCCCAGATAGGTGCCTGGACAGACATTGGTTACCAGTAAACCCAGAAGATATTAAACTGGTTAAATATGTGTTAAACTACTTTGTAAATAAATAACTAGTAATCATTTTGGACATGTTTTATGTCATACAGGTCACTAAAGGTTATTTTTAACTCTTATCAGTTTTTAAAAGACATTGATGATACAGTCAGAATGAAGCTGATAATGTTGTATAAACACTATAATCTCTAATGGTGGGAAATCTTCCTTTTGGAATTTTTAAACAGCTAAGACTTTTCTAAAAACAGATGTGAGTTTAAATTCTCAACATTATTTTTAAGCTTTAACTCCCTTGTTGAAATTATTCCTGTCTCATTTTCTTCCTTTGAAGAGAAACATGAAGCCTTTTTTTTCATACTGTATAATATAGACTCTACACACAGAAAAAAATATGTCTTTATGAAAATTACCAGCTGTAGGCTGAGATTTGCATTTTGGGGCAATACAACAGAAACCATAGAGTTTCCTGATTTTAGTCCCTGCACAAAGACAATATATTGGGACAAATATTTGCCTTATTACTAAAACTAAACAGTCCAAAATTGAACACTGCTTGTGAGGAGTTTTAGTGTTAAGAGAGTAAGTGGATGGCCTTTTTAAAAAAATAAAAATGAGAAAATGACAGCCTTAGACACTCTCATCTGTACAGGACCTAACTGGTTATTTACTTACATGCAGTTTACCAAACTACTTCCTCCTACACATATATACATTTCAATAAGTATAAATACATATATTTATAGATATGTGCTTATCAATAAATATGTTTTTTGTATTTGTAAAACATTTTTGATTAAAACAAGTTTAATTGTTGTAAATGCAGATGCAAGATTACACAAAGGTGACAAACAATGTGTAATCTGGGATAATGTAAAATGTAAAGGTTTAAATGGGCAACAATTTTAGTCATTAGGACATGTTCAGCTGTTCAGTCATTAATATTTCATATTGGCTCTTTATGCTAAAATGCTGACCCCCAGTGGTTAATTTCTGCAGAGGACATCAGTGTGCATTTTCTTTAGCAATTCTTGTCTTTCCTTGATTCTCTCAGAGGAAGAAACATTGAACTCATCAAGCCTTTAATATATGAACTAAACAGAGTTCTTTGTCTGAAGTTGGAAAATTTATAGTTCTCATTTTTATGCTCTCTGTCTTTTAAAAGCTTTGCTTTGTCTGACCTTGAGTTGCCTTGAGAACAGTAATTAATGTGTTTTATTTCTTTATTCTTGTTCCAATCGTTGGAAAAAGCCTTACAGATATGACTGATTGTCCAGAAGCATTTTGGATCCTTTGAATACAACACAACAAATTGCATATAGTTTGACAAACACAACAGAATTATGAATAATCTGTCTTATTCTTATAGAGAATTACTTTGATAATGAAATAATGATTAAACGTTTCCTTGCTTTTCTACTACTCACTGATCATTTCAGAAGTTACAAATATATGTATGAATCTGCTCTG